TTTGTCTCAGCCTATTTAAAATAAAGACCCTGCTGCTATACCTAGGAGCCCGCCGGGCTAGCGAGCCCGGGTTGGCGGCGTTTCAGTGCAAAGCGTCATCTCGCTTCCCTCACGAGCGGGGAGCTGGGCCTGCCCAGGTTTGTTGAAGAAGGTGTTGCTGGACGTATCGTAGCCATATTAAAGGTTTCTTTTATCCAGGCATTTTCCTTCGCAGCCTGTAAGCCCCCAGCCTCCTGCGAGCTGCTGTTTCGTATTATACGCGGTAAATGAAACAACCTTGAGCTTAACTATGAATGGACACACAATTCCTAGTTGCGACAGCCTTTTAAGAACCCATGTTCTCCACTAAAACCTTGAGTGCTTTCCAAAGGTACTGTCTGCATAGCCTGAAGAGTCTGCAGAAGTGTATTAAATAGGTAGGATAATAGATATGTATTAAATGGTCGGGATAATTGGGAAGTGCTTATAAGCGGTTTGGAGGTGTAGCAAGTGCTGTCACTTATAAGTGCCAAGTGACAGCTTTTTTACTATCAGTCAGGTATGTGAGAAGTTTTAAGTACTCCGTCATGACAAATGTACAGCCAATACCTCTTAAAAACAAGGCTGAGAAAAGGGTATGCAAGAGGCGACCGGGTTGGTGCTGTACAGGCAGATGGATGCTCAGCCCTTGCTGTTTTAGGTCAAATGCAGTATTTTAAAAGCAGAAGCACATCTGGAGCATCGCAGAGACAGTTGCTGCAAATTAGGCACAGCATGGCTTCGTGCAGGACGTGGCACTGGAACTGGCAGTCCTGCGGGCTTCCAGGTTTTATGAGGCAGCAGGACTTTTTCCACGTTCGTACTCCTGGAAACAAGGAAAAAAAAAAAAAAGAAAAAAAAAAAAAGTTTTTTTATGACCCTGGGGAGCAGGAAAAGTGCCAGGCAGCTGAAGGCCAGTGAATTCAGGCAAGCGACCTGTGCCAGGTTATTTTTATGCACACTCCGATCGTCCCGCTGAATTCCCAGGCCCCCTTGTCCGAGGGGTCAGAGCATGGGTTACCTTCAGTTTCTGGGTGCCACCGCGTGGTGCAACAGCTAACTGCACCCATCCCCACAGCGGGTGCAGGCAGCAGGCGCGGGCAGCCTCTCCCACGCATGCAGGGCAGCCTGGAACCACCAGCGCTTTGAGGCTGCGGAGCCACAGAGCGGGGGCGGCCGCCCAGAGCTGTGCTCGCTGGCTCTTCCTGGACCTCGCTGCCTTCATCTGCCGTCAGATACATGCGCGGTCACTGGCTTTGTGCCCTGGGAAACTCCGAGACGCCCTTCCTAACTCCGCTTTGCTCCCTTTTTGTTCTTCCAGACTGGGACGGGGTGAAATGGCAGCCTCTTCCTCATCCTCTTCAGCCGGCGGAGTCAGTGGCAGCTCTGTAACAGGATCAGGGTTCAGCGTTTCGGACCTGGCGCCGCCCCGAAAAGCCCTCTTCACTTATCCCAAAGGAGCTGGGGAGATGCTGGAAGGTGATTGCTCCTGCCCTTCTCCTCCCCCGCTCCTCCTGGTGCGCAGGCAGCCCTGCAGGGGAGTTGCCGAGCTTGGCACCCCGCTGCCTTTTTGGACTTTAGCTGGCAAAAGCTGGAGGGAGGGAGGAAGGAAGCACCAGGGCTCGGGTAGGTCCCAAGCAGCCCCAGCTCTCCCACCAGCTGTTCATGAGGAAGTGATTTTTCTGGCAGTCACCTGTTTTTTAGCTCCATGACAACACTTCAGATGAGGAAGCGATCTACCTGAAAGAGAACATGACGGTGTTAATTGCTCATTGTTAGCTAATCCTTTGATGTCGGGCAGGAATTACTGTAAAGATAGCTGAGGCAGGAGTATTTTTCTTGGCAAAACGCGTCCTGGGGTTGGATTTGACTGGGCTAGTACAGGAGGCAGCTTGTATCCCTGCTGGCCAGGAAACGTAAGGCTTGCTTTTGCCCTTGACCCAAGTTAAAACCTTTGCTGCAGAGGTCTGCGAGGGGATAAATCAGGACTAGACCTCTCCTTTAATCCTTCAAGTTTTCCCCTTTTGGGCTCACTCTTGTCAGGGCGTTTCTCCAGGGCCGGGGCCAGGAGAGGGCCGGGGCTCTGATCCAGCATGGCATCTTGCGTTTGGGTGCCCGAGCCCTGCCACCCACTTCGTCAGGGTTGCCTGAAGGAGGACCCAGGCATGTCGCAGCTGCATGTCCCTGCCCCTGCTCTGGGTGAGGGAGGAAGGGCAGGTCCTCCAGATGACAGGGTTAAGCCAAGGTCTGTCTGTCTGTCCGTCTGCTCCTCTTGAACTTCCTGTGTCACCATGCCGAACACTTGACTGCATGAGCCTGAGGTTCATTGGGGTGGCCCTGCAGCTCAGAAGTGACTGCATTCCGGTAGAGACGAACACGGCAGCGCAGGGCAGCTGGGAACTGATCGCTATGTCGTTTAAGGACTGGTTTTATTACACATTAGAGCCCATATGCCAGTCTATTGAAGTAATTATGACTAAAGCCTTGCTCATAGAACTTAACGAGCCCTCAAAACAAATTAAAATAATGAAGCACTTCGTGTTACCAAATAGACACACAAAATAGTTCCTCCCAAGAGCCACTCGGCAGGACGGCTGGGCTGGGGAGTCGGAGGAGAGGAAAGGGTATGTTTGGAAATAGCACGGGGCAGCACCAACACACAGCATTTCAACAGCTTGTGAGAGGATGCTCTGAGCACGGCAGAACTCCGACTCTTCCCTCTTACCTGGGGTTCAGCTTCGGATTAGATTTTCCAGGGCCAGGGGTCTGTTGCTACCCTTAGTCTTTAAAATTGCTTCTCTTCCTCGTTTTTACGGCATGGAGCTTTTACTTGATTTGCTTTGGGCTGACCTGTTTACCAGTACCACAGCAGTTTGCCTGCTCTGGGTGACAGCAACAACTAAACACTGTCCCTGTCGCAGGAAGCTTTAAGTTAGCTTTTTAATTTCTGAGATAAAAGGTGATACATCCATTCTTTCATCAGGCAGGTGCTAGTGGGGTAGCTGCATACCAGTTTCCCCTTCAAAATCCCCACTAACTGACTGATTTTTATTGTTACTTTAACTATCTCGCATGTTTTTAAATAAACCCGTAGGTTTTTTGGGGTTTTTTTAGAAGGGAGTAGTATAAACTATGTCAGTACTTGGCACACAATTAGCTACGTATTCCAGATTGCTTTATTTCTGAGACAGTTGTGTGATCAGTTACTGATTTAGATGGCAAGATACACATTACTTGAAATCCTTTATGCGGGGTTATAGTCTAAGCCTGTGGGAAATCATAAAGCATTATAAGGACACAAGCGTCTGAGCCCCGAGGGAGTCGGAGACTGCCATAATATTATTCTCCTTAGCTTACCTTTATTTAAAATGGACTAAAATTGAAATTGAGAGGGGATGTAACAGCTTACCTTTATTTAAAATGGACTAAAATTGCTTGACAGAGGGGATGTAACAGAATATGAGCCGGGATGTCTCCCAGGTAGCACAGCCGTTCCCCAGCGGCACCGGGAGCCAGCCAAAGCCCCGCACAGGATTTGAGCGCGGGGCTGTACGGGCCAGAAACCGGAGCGCTGCGCACTCGGCGCAGGGCAAAGTGTCAGAACGAGGCAAGTGGGGAAACCCACACCTCAAACATAAAAATAGAAGGTCGGCGGCACTGAGTTAAGGCTGCTCAGTCTTAAAACTCTCAGATTAAACCACCTCCCTTTTTCTGTTTACAGATGGCTCCGAAAGATTCCTCTGTGAATCTGTCTTCAGCTATCAGGTTGCATCTACATTAAAGCAAGTGAAACACGGTAAGCACCGAAGCGCCCTCTATTTTAACTGCATGTTGATCGGGGAAGATGGCAGGGGAGCGCAGAGAAAAGGCTGACATGTTCTCGGGTGCCGACCACAAAAAAGCAGAATAGCCTTTTATGTTGGCGAATTAACGCTAAGTCAGACCATCATTGAGTCCTTTTGCAAGCTCTATGCAAAGCGATGGGAACCCACACAGCCTGGGTGGGAACAGGCTGTGCCTTTCGAAGCTTGTTTTTCCATCGCTGTGAGCCGCGCTGCCTTGACAAGAGGTGAGGCCAGAAGAGGAGGTTATGGGCAGGAAACGCCCACGCTCTGATCTTGGCCCAGCGCTGACTGTCTCTCTGGCCTCAGGCAAAGAGACACTTGATTCCACCTTTGTTTCTCTGCTGAGCCCTAATGACACTGGCAGGGTCAAGCGAGGTTTCCAAAGGTGCTCGAGGTTTCCAGAGGTGCTCAGGAGACGAACATGCAGGTGCCTGGCGTGGCATGACGGGGCTGACTCCACTCCCTACCTCCCCAAGAAAGAGCCTTATGTCTTGTTTGAACTTCTGCTTCCCTCCTGGGGCCTTCGCCGGCTGCCCAGGTGCCTGTGACTGAACGATGGGCTTGACTGCATGGCAGCTTTCGTTCTCAAGATGTTGGGCAGAGCTCAGCACCAGATCGTGTCTGCTGCTTGAGGGTCACATCCTTTCTGGTCCCCACCTCTTGTCAGCTAGAATGGGTACTTCCACGTGTTGTCTCAGACCGGAGCGGTTTCCTGTCCTCTGCCGGCAAGGGTTGTCAGGAGGAGGTCTGCAGGCGTGCAGCAGCTTGCAAGGCCGTGATCCTGTATTTCTGAACCGAAAAGCGAAGCCGAACTTCAGAGCCATTTTTTCCACAGCTCCGGCGCTACTGCGGCTGTAGCTACCGGGGCTGCTGCACGGACGGGCACCCTGATAAGCACCAGCCTTTGAAACTGGTTTGTGGAGCACCGGTCGCCTCCCTGTAAGAAAGGGGAAAGGCTTAAAAAAAGATCGAGGTCATCGTTTTTTGGCTTGTTTGTTTGACAGTTCCCAAAAGCACTCAGTTGCGGGAGGTGGAGTGAGAACAGTCCGTCTTAAAAGCACTCGCTGCCGCAGTCAGCATAAATCATGCGCATTTTATGTTATGCCTCTTGCTAGTAAGTCGGCTCGTAGTGGGCCGTTTTTCCAAGAGGCCGCTGCGCTGTTAAACTTCCAGCAGAGCCAAGAGAAGAACGGCTGTTCTCATCTCGGCACCACTGCAGCTAATTTAATTGAAAATGGAGCCTGCGTGCCCAATGTACAACCAGTTTTAAATAAAGCTGAGAGGAACAAGTTGTCTTGGGGATCCCCAGGGAGGCAGCCCATCTCTCCGCGGGGACCTTCGTGTCATTAGCATGCTCTGATTGCAGAGCCTTTCTGCTACAGTCATCCAGGTCCTCCTCAAAGGACCTTCATTAAAACGAGGAGTTCCTCACGCTGTACCCAGCTCTACCGTGGGCTGACCAAGCTCTCTGAACTTCTCTGTTCTTTTGCACTATAAATATTTATGCTAAAGAAATGAGCTTCATCCTGTTTTCACCCCCATACGCTAATCAGCCTTGTGTTTCCCTGTTAGGACTTGAATTTACACAGCACGGGCAGGGATGGGTAAATACACATTCAGCGCTGGACGAGGCAGAAAAGCCTGTCCCTGCTTTCTCCTGTGATCTGGCGAGGTCTCGCCGTTTGCACAGGGCGTCGTGTAGAGTGGGTTTGTATTCAGATCAGCTCGGTGGGTTTTATTCTACTCTGTTCCCCATTGACAGCTGGGAATTTGCATCTAATTGAAAGGTTTAATTGCGCTGTCATTGCAAACCACAGTTACCTTTGAACTTCTCGCAGATCAACAAGTCGCGCGGATGGAAAAACTAGCCGGTCTGGTGGAAGAGCTGGAGGCAGATGAGTGGAGGTACAAGCCAATAGAGCAGCTCCTGGGATTCACTCCCTCCTCAGGCTGAGCTTGTCTGGATCGCTGCTGTCAGGGAGCAGAAGAAAAACATTCTCCGGCCTGGCTTCAAAACACACCCCCACTTATCAGGATGCTGACAGCTGCATGGGCAGGACTGGGCTTTTTTTTTTTTTTTAATTTTTT